AGAAAACCATGTATTCAGGTTTTCTTGTTATTAAGGTAAATAAATCGCCCTTTTACTGCAAACTCCCGACTCTGCTATTACAAATCATGCACGCTAATGCTATTTTACTTTGGTTCATCAGTCACAGGTTTCGTCTTTTTTCACCACCAGAAGCTTAGAAACCCTCCTTGAAATCAAAAGGGGAATACTACTTAGCTTTAGCTACATTTCATATTCAGTTGTTAAAGAATACCAGAAGAAGGTACCAAAAGGCTTGGTCCTAATCATTTGATGAAGTCGTTGCCACCGATGGCAGCATGCAGTACTATCATATTGTCGTGGTTTTTCAATTGCTGTACTGATGCAAACGTAATGGGTTTACTATCCTTGCAGCCACCGACTTCAAAATGAAGAGTGCTCATTTGGTCCACGTCACCATCATCGTCCCGAAGTGTCTAGAATGGCAGGCAAAGCTGATTGGACAGGCAGGCTGGGAAAAGAGCACCGATGACGATGGATGCAAGTTCCCACCATTGGAGAGCAATGATTATCAGCCATACGACTTGCTACAGAACAAAAGTCTTCGAGCTAAACACTGTCATGCATGCCTCTCAGTAGGAGCGAAAGCCTATGGTCAAGCATGTGTTAACAACGAAGTGACACTAAATCATGCTAAAGTGCTAAAACTTTTATCTCTCATGTTGCACTTGCACAAACAGAGAAACGGGACTGCATTTGAAATGAAACTCTTATGCTTTGTTTTCCTGATTGACCAACTGACAAATAATTCCCAAGCATTTGCAAGAACATGACTTCAAATTTCAGAAGAAAAAAATACAATGCCCAACTACATAAACGTTGAGATAACCAGCATGTTCGCTTGTTGGTTTCAGTCATGGCTTATCAGCCAGCCAACAGTGTTTTCCTCTCACAATAAGCCAGCACCAGCCGGGCTTATTAGCCCAGAAACAAGCGAACATATCCTCCAAATGACAGCCCATCTGACACTTGCAGCCGTTCAAATGTACCATTAACAAAATATTTAAGCGTTACACATGAGATAACATATCCTCCAATTAGCACCTTGCCCTTTAGTATTGTCATTGGCTGGTGTATACGTATACCTGTTCCAGCGATTGCTCAAATGGTTGACTTCGTCTGTGCGGCTCAATGCATGGAACGATGCTGAACAATTACCTGCCGTCCACACGTGCAGGACAACTGACCAACGATGGCGCGCTCGACCCTGCCGGTCTGGTGGCGATCGCGATCGCGCACGCGCTGGCGCTCTTCGTGGGCGTCTCCATCGCCGCGAACATTTCCGGCGGCCACCTGAACCCGGCCGTGACGTTCGGCCTGGCCGTGGGCGGCCACATCACCATCCTGACCGGACTCTTCTACTGGGTGGCCCAGCTGCTGGGCGCGTCCGTGGCGTGCCTGCTCCTCAAGTTCGTGACCCACGGCAAGGCCATCCCGACCCACGGCGTGGCCGGGATCAGCGAGCTGGAGGGCGTGGTGTTTGAGATCATCATCACCTTCGCGCTCGTGTACACCGTGTACGCCACCGCCGCCGACCCCAAGAAGGGCTCCCTCGGCACCATCGCGCCCATCGCCATCGGCTTCATCGTCGGCGCCAACATCCTCGCCGCTGGCCCCTTCAGCGGCGGCTCCATGAACCCCGCCCGCTCCTTCGGCCCCGCCGTCGCCACGGGCAACTTCGCGGGTAACTGGGTCTACTGGCTCGGCCCGCTCATCGGCGGTGGCCTTGCTGGCCTCATCTACGGCGACGTCTTCATCGGCGGCTCCTACCAGCAGGTCGCCGACCAGGACTACGCCTAAGTGCATGCTCCATCTGGATTGTTTGAATTTGAACCCATCGAACGCAGCGTTTCGATCTGCGTCGTCGTTTTCTTTGCTCTTCGCCACGTTAAATGGTTTCTATGTAATGTGTCAATGATGTCTCGTCCATGGTCCTTTGTATTCATTTCCCTTTTTTTTTTCGGGGTAAAATCGATGTAAAGATCTCGTCCGATCTGCGGTTTTCGTCTTGGAGTGGAAAGAAAGTGATTTTCGTTTCGTTTATGCATGGATTTCTTGGGTCGTTTATGGTTTTCATTCATCCACGTCTGCCCCCCAAATCGTGACGGTTGCAATCGCGCCCGTGCAATGGTTACTACCCGCGCAAACTTCCATTATTGCACGGGCGCGTCTTCGCCTTTCTAAAACGAACAAGCAGCACGCAGTTCCTCTGGATTTCTTGTCCCGCATGATGATGGTCTGCTTGCAGGTTGCAGCAGTGCTTCTCGCCCCGCGGTTGTACCTCTTCGTGTTCGCCACCGCTGGCTCCGCCGTCTCTGCACGTCCGTAGCTTTGTTGCGTCTTGCGAGTTACGGCCCACACACCGCATGTTTCTTGACTTTTGATGCGCTCGCCCTGCAGGTATGCTCACGCCGGACGTGACATCCGACGCCTCGCCGCTGCAGGCTTTCGCGCTCTTCGTTGCGTTATTCATCGCGGCTGAGGCGTCTGGCCGCCACGCCAAGTCGCCAGCCCCGCCGTCACGTTCGCCTTCGCCATCGGTGGCCACATTGCCGTGCCGACCACCATCCTCTGTCCACACCTTCTCCGCCGGCGAGGTAACGGAACTCCTCCCGTCGGCACGCAGAATGTATTTCTCTCCTGGTCATTTCGTTCCGCATCGGGCGTGCCGATGTGGCAGCGATGACCGAAGATCCCCACGCAGGCCGTGCCGACAACGAGGGTCGCCGTGGACATGACGGGTTTCGGGGCATCGATCCTGGAGGCGGTGACGACGTTCATGGTGGTGTTCACGGCGCACGCGGCGTGCGCCCCCCCGGGCCCCGGGCCCCGGGTCCGCCGGTCGGCACTTCGGCAGGAACAGGAAGACTGGGCCGTGTAGTGGGCCGGCCCGATGGGCGGTGCGGCCCTTGCGGTGCTGGTGCTCCCGGCCTCGTCGCTCCGTGAGCTGCGGCCCGGCACCGCTCCTTAGGAAGTGTCAAATGATCGTTCCTTTGGACTCCCAACACTCATTCTTGGAATCTGAACCTTCTTAACAACATTTTTGACCATCAAGGTGTTTCTATCATCTCCCAGGTACATCCTGTTCATAGCGAACAGCAGGATATCCTTAGGTGGATTCCCGCAAAAAAGGGAGATTGCACAACCAAAAATGTTTACAGGCATTTCAGGGCCCAAATGCAGGTTCAGTTGCCTCAACAAGGCTCACGCAGCATTCTGCCTCAAGCCAACCAGATCCTTCAAAGGATGTGGTAACTCAGAGAGATATCCCCTCTCATCAAGACTTTCACGTGGAGACTCATAAGACGGGCACTGGCGACGGGTCAAAGAGCAGGAACATATTCCAATAATATAGACAAACTATGTACTGCCTGCGGCAAATTAGAAAATGATGCTCACCTTTTCTTTCATTGTGACTTTGCTAGAGCAGTTTGGTTCTCGGCGGATCCTCCTCTACGTACTGACACTTTGTCTCAAGAGGAAGATGGGGTTCAGAGTATTCTCACAACTTTTATTTCTGATTCTACTCCAAATTTCTTGCTGCAAAAAATATTAGTTACTCTATGGTATTTATGGAAGGCAAGGAATGATCAAAGATTTCAGAGAAAAACTTGGACACCATGCCAACTACACCATGCGGTAGCTGGATATATTGCCACACTGAATGCAGCTCTACATGCAGCTGAACAACAGGATGAGCAGAATGTGCATGTCAACCGTCCACCGCAAGGTATAGCTTTTTCTACTGTTGCAGGCACTAGATCGCCTCCGGCCCAGACGTACAGGCACATGGAGTCATCACCGCACTGTTACTCCATCCAACTACCAGCTCTCCTGCAAGGCTCCAGATGTTATCCGGATGCTTCAACTTTGCCTGACCTGAACTCTTCCTATCCAAGGAGAGCTGGCATTGGAATTTTCATCATTAATGTGGAGGTGAATCCACCGCAAAGTATCTACATCAAGGCTGCCATCACAGATTCATCCTCAGTTTTAATGGCTGAGGCTGCAGCTCTAGCTCTGGCGGCAACAATCACCAATCAGCTGCATCTGCAACACACCAATTTCTTGACAGACAACCAGGAACTGGTGCACTTCTTCAATGCATCATACCACACCAATCCTCCGGACTGGAGAATCAAGCGCTACACTCAACAGTTCATCAACCATACCCAGCAGAGAAGCACAAGCATTTACAAGATTAGAAGGTGCCAAAACCAAACGGCAGATACTTTAGCGAGACAGGCTTTGACAGACTTACACTCTGTCTACAAATGTATCCTGTGTTTGTTCAAACACAGACCATGTCTCTCAGTGCCCTCCATTGGTTGCACTGCAGTCTGTAAACAATTACCACTGCACGGCTGCTTTCAGCTCGTTGCTGTTGAAATAAAAGTGTTTGTTATCAAAAAAAAATGTTTAGTAGCCCACCATCTTTTGCCAGGGTCGGTGTGCTGTGCTCCGGTAGTGCACAATACAGACGCGTGGTAAATGTCACCAGATGTCCACTGATCCGCACCCCAGGTCCGGACGTCCTGACTCGTGTCCGCTTGCTCCGACAAGCTCGGCGTGAGACCCACCGGTACGAATAAACTAGCACCGAATGTACACTGGCGGGCTCACGAGTCCGAGGAGATTTCAGATTTCATCCCCTAGCATACGTTTTATATGCCGCGACGCCGACAAACCCCGACGCGCCTGTCTCCCGCGCGCCCTCCCACCAAGCCGGTGCAGCGTATGCTCGCGGCAATGGCCACACCGAAAGCAATGCCACACTGTCTAGTGTCTACGTGTCGCTCGATCTGCGTAACAGGGGCGGCAGCGGCGTCAGGGACCGAAGCCTTGGTGTTTCCTGCCGCCCACGCAGCGTTTCCCCCGTGCTCCGTGTCTGCCTGCCTCCGCCGCACCGCCTCCGCGCGGGCGAGCCGCGAGCCCGATGATAAATAGGCGGCGAGGTGGCAGCACCGGCCGGACGCGACGCAATGCAACACGAAGAACAGTGCGACACTACCTACGGTCAAGGCAACGGTCGTCGAGCGGGTGAGGAGGAACTCAAGATGGAGGGGCACTTGTTGATGAGGATGAAGAGGAGGGATCACCTGCTGCTCACTGACGGCGGCGCAGGGGCGGGGCCTCTGGCGGTGCAGTCGCCGCAGACGCCGATGGAGCCCATGGAGTTCCTGTCGCGGTCGTGGAGCGTGTCGGCGTCGGAGATCTCCAAGGTGCTGGCCGTCGGCGGCGTGGGCGGGAGGCGGAGCTCCAACTTCGTCGTCGACCGCCTGTCCGGGATGCTCATGCCGGAGACGCTCGCGCTCGCCGCCGCCTCCGGCACCAACATCAGCCCTCGCAAGCGCGTAAGGATCGATCTCATCGAATCATTCTGCGCATCCCTGCAATGCCTCCAGTGCAGCTGAATCAATGGGTTGATTGTATTGTGCAACTTGCGTCTGCAGACCCTCAGGAGCAGGAGCGCGATCTCGGCGCACCAGGTCCACCACACGGTCCACGCGATCGGGAAGTGGTTCCACCACTGGGACGCGAGCAGCAAGGTGGACAAGGCCCGCGCGGAGCGGGCGCGCGTGCACGCCGCGGTCTCCGTGGCGAGCGTGGCGGCCGCGGTCGCCGCCGTGGCCGCGGGCGCCGCGAGCCCCGAGATGGAGGACGTCGATGGCGCCAGGATGGAGAGCGCGCTGGCGTCCGCGACGCAGCTGCTGGCGTCGCACTGCGTCGAGGTCGCCGAGCTCGCCGGGGCCGACCACGACCAGGTGGCGTCCGCCGTGGAGGCCGCAGTGGACGTGCGGAGCCCCGGGGATCTGCGGACCCTCACCGCCGCAGCGGCCACGGCTCTCAGAGGAGCCGCGGCGATGCGGCATAGGGCGCAGCGGGACGCGAGGAGCAGGGCGGCCGTGGCGCCGTACGAGAAGGCCGGCGGCAGCTGCCGCGCGGACGTCTGGTGCAAGGAAGGCGCGCTCCTCAAACGCAACCGCAAAGGCAAGCAGCCATCTATTCGCCACGTTACAAGCTGATGATAGCTTTGGGCTAGAATCTGAATCTAACCGAACTGCTGTTCCCACAGGCGCTCTGCACTGGAAGCAAGTGGCCGTGTACATCAACAAGAGGTCGCACGTGATAGTGAAGCTGAAGAGCAAGCACATCGGCGGCGCCTTCTCCAAGAAGAAGAAGGGTGTCGTCTACGGCGTCTACGACGACATACCGGCGTGGCCGGCGCACGACGAAGGCGGCGGCGTGCAAAGCTCGGCGCCGGAGACGTGCCACTTCGGGCTGAGGACGGCGCAGGGCCTGCTCGAGTTCCAGTGCGAAAGCAGGGCACAGAGGCAGGACTGGGTGGAGGCGGTGAAGAACCTGATCCGGCAGGTGGCCGGCGGGACTGCTCAGCTCGAGCACTCCTTCGAGTCCCTAAGGCTGAGCACGTCTTAAGTTTGGTCAATTGGTCGTGTAATCTGGCGTGTAAATCTGCTCCCGTTTGTCCACTCGGTTAACTCAGGAGAAATCGAGGTGCGATTTTGCAGAATAATGTGCAGATTTTGTAGTCTTTTCTTTTTCCTTGCAAGGTAGTACTGTGACGAGCTTCAAGTGCTGGTGTACGTGACCCTCCTTGCTCAGTCTCCATATAGTGTTTGATGTTTGTTTCTGGTGTAGTCACCTTTCATTATTTTCAAGCATCTTATGACGCGGGCACAAATCCGTTCGCCCAGGTCATGTTATCGTCGCAAGTACTACCTCCTAGAAAAAAAAATACTAAATCCGCTCCAAATTAATAAGACTACTAAATCTATTCTAAATTATAAGATGTTTTTGGCTTTTCTAAGGTCTGGTTTAGTTCCCAAAATTTTTCACCCCAGACTATCACATCGAATCTTTCGGCACATGTATGAAGTATTAAATATAGACAAAAAAAAAACTAATTGCACAGTTTGGTTGGAAATCGCGAGACGAAGGTTTTAAGACTAATTAGGCCATGATTAGCCATACGTGCTACGGTACTAACATGCGCTAATGATGGATTAATTAGGTTTAATAAATTCGTCTCGTAGTTTTCTGGCGAGCTATGTAATTAGTTTTTTTATTAGTATCCGAAAACCTTTTTCGACATCCCGAAACATCCGATGTGACATCTAAAAATTTTCATTTCGCGAACTAAACACAGCCTAAATACATTGCATTTATTACGTCTCTAGACATATTAAATGCATAGTAAATGCAATGTATCTAGAAAAGTCAAAATATATTATACTTGGGAACGGAGTAAGCACCAGTTTACAGCCTGTTCGTTTATTGGTTTCAGCCAGGGCTTATCAGCTAGCTAACAGTATTTTCTTCTCACAACAAACCAGCACCATTCGGGCTTATCAGCCCAGAAAACCAACCAGCGAACAGGCTCTTAGACTGCATCAATTTTTTCTAAGTTCATTAAGTTTATAAAGAAATACGGCACGCCTAGTGCTTGAACGTCCGAACGGCGTTACAGCGTCTGCTGCTCCTCTTCCTTGTGGCGCATCTGCAACAACCCTCCGCTCCCACCAACATGCACGTGGGCCCGGCTTTCATCGGACCCCCCTCGCCGCTGACACCTCGACCCCCGACCCCACCCATATCCCCATCCGTTCGCCTTCTACCCCACAGGCACACCCCCCCCCCAATGCGGCCCCCCAAAGCGCCACGCGCCACGTCCATCGACTCACCGCGCCTCATTCCTCGGCGTCCCCTGACTCTCCGAACAGCATGAAACGCGTGTAACATGAAACACTTAAGCGCAACATATCTCAAACAGATGAAACATCTGAAACATACAGTTACAACATATGTGTGAAAAACGTATGCAACATCCAGATAGAACATCTGCAACTTGTAATATGAAAACACTTGCAGCAACAGAAGGCTGAAACAAATGAATAGTTTGGAATATACTGTTGCAACATATGTGTGGAACATATGCAAGTTTTAGATCAAACGCATGCAACAATACATCTGGGAACAGATGAAACATTGCGAACAAAATACTTGCAACAGCCTCTAAAACACTTGCATCATATGCAACATTACTCGATCTACTTTTGCAATATCCATATGATTCAACCATAACATACCTCTGAAACGTCTGTAATAATTGAAACATACAATTGCAACATAGGGGGAGATAGAGAGAGCCTGGCGCAAGGAGCGCCATGGCTGCTGGATCTGCGGGCATTGGGGGCTCCCGGTGGGGAGGACGTCGGTGTGGGGGAGGGGCGCCGCCGGGGTGGGGGAAGGAGCCGCCAGGGTGGGGGAGGAGGACGCCGGGGTGGGTGAGGGCGTCGCCGCTGGCCAGGGAGGGAGCCGGCGACATGCGCAACGGGAGGGGTGAGAGGCACGCGAGCCACGGGGCGCGAGCGAATAAATGGGGACCAATGGCGTGGGATGGGGTGCACGGCACGGCGGAGCCTGGCGTCGCGAGCAGGCACGCGTCGTGGGAGGGAGCGAGGCGGCGTGGGAATGAGCGGACGGTGCGACAATCGGATAAGTCCGTGGAGAGATGAATGGAGGAGGACACGCGGGCGTCGTAGCCAATCGTTATCTGCTGCGTCCAAAAAATGTCAAATCGTTCGAGTCATAGCATTATAGTAAAAAATAATATCAAGATTTATGACCAAGGTTAGGTGTGGGTAACATAGGCACCAATCGAACAAACCTTTGTGCTAAAAAAAGGAAAAAAAATAGGTGTTATGCGATACTCTAGCACCTAAATTTTTATTGCACCATTTTACAAAATGAATTACAGCTAAAAATAGGTGACTACAATATAATCTACGTGTAACTATGGTGTTAGCGAAAGTTCAAGCGCGTGGCCGGGAGGGCTATAATCTGTTTCGTCGGGCTCACAGAGCAGCTTGCACATAAATCTAGGAGGAGCTCTGAAACAATTTTCTAGTCATAAGTGATTCGACGCTAAGGCTGTGGTTAGTTCGCGAATTTTGGAAATTTAGTTACCGTAGCGCTTTCGTTTTTATTTAGTAATTAGTGTTCAATCATGGACTAATTAGGCTTAAAATGTTCGTCTCGTAATTTCTAACCAAACTGTGCAATTAGTTTTTTTCATCTACATTTAATGTTCCATGCACATATCGCAAGATTCGATGTGATGGCTACTGCAACCCTTTTTGGAAAACTTTTTGAACTAAACAGACCTAATTTGTGAAGTACCGTATCTTCGTTCACTCTACATACAAAGTCAGAGAGTTAATCCAAAAGAATAATGGAGAAATATTTTCAGTCAGAGAATCAATTCTGTCACAAAATTCACAACCATAAAGAATCTAGAACATAAATAACTCTACCAAACAGGGTTTAAGTCAGACTTTGAAAAAACAAACAAACATAATTTTAGCATCTTTGGATTTTACGTGAGGCTGAGCCGCAAGAACAGAAGTACCACCTTAGGCGCCAAATAAGGTCCACAACTTCTCCACCGGTTTCACAAGTTGTTTTTAAAGTTATTTTGTGCCAAACAGGTATTTACAAAACAACTTTACGGGTGAAACTCTTGAAACCTGCTGAGACATAAGATTGAGATGGGATAGAGCTAAAAATAGTAACATTCCTCAACTTCACCTGGCACCAGTGCACCTCCACCGTGTTCGGAAGTAAGATTTGCCCCCGCAAGGTGCGTGATCGGCTAGGGCTGGATGGCTGGTTGGGCTGGCCAGCCCCCTCATAAAACACTGTTTATCTAAACCAAACAGCAGTACTTCTCTCTCACATAAACAAATCAACAACTATATGAAACAGCCAACCGAACACGCAAGGCGTGGCCGACCTAGCCGTCGGTGTCCGAGCGCGTCCATCACGGGGCATCGTCGGCAGGGCGGGGGCACTGCGGCTGGCGCGACCATTGTGGCTCGCCACCACCCGGCATGGGGACAGACGCGACAATCGGTGCGCTGCCATGCCGGGCACGGCTGGCAAGGCAGTTGCGTTGGGGCTGTCGAGGCAGCACGCTGAGTGCATCTGAGGATACCAGCTGTCATGAAGAACAAAGAAACCCAAGCGGAAAAAGGAAGAAGAAATAGGAGATGAGGGGGAAAAAAGAACGGCATCGTGGTCATTTCACTTTTTTTGTGTAACTTAAAGAGCTTAGAGCTGTTTTGCCAGATGTGTAATCAAAACTGTTTTAGCTTAATCGGTAGAGCTGCTCGTAGAGCCGAAGAAAAATATACATTTTATCGGTGAAGCTGTTCCGAAGGAGGCCTAAGTGAGTGGAGCGTCAAGATGGTCTCGGCAGCGGCTCAGCCTCCGCGGACGGTGGACTCGGTGAAGGTGCAGGGCAGGCTAGCTCCGCCCGGCGTTGGCAGTTGCGTCATCCGATCATCGTGCGATGTCTTGCCCGCTTGTCCCTCGCTTATGTCCCGTGCGGCCGTTGCCTTCGATTTCCTTCGCGTCGTCGTCTATCGTCGTCGGGAGTCGGGGCACTCTGCCGCTACGCCACGCCACGGTCGCCGGGCCTCCTCCTCGCGCAGTGCTTTGCCGTCCGGTGTTTGGACTGCCGTTCGTCGGGGAGGGGGATGAATGGTTGGCTCCGAGCTTCCCGGCCGGTCGCTGTCTCCCGATTCCTGAACCCCGGCGCACGCTTCGTTCTCGCGCGCTGGCGTACATCAAAACGCGTACGGCGGTTTCGAAGCACCGCAGCACGCTTCTGCTCCGATAATCCATGCATACATGTCGCGTTACGATTCCGACGTGCGGCGCGTCATGGCGTGAAGACACCAGTTAACACACTCGTGACCTAGTTCGCGACCAGTCGACATGCACGCGCGACTCTGAATCCGTCGCAGGCTAGCTAGGGCTATATCGAGAAGAGAACTCACGGCTGAGATCAGGCAGCAGAAGGTTATTTCCCGTGCAGCCGCGTACGATCTACTTGCCTTGACGCACGTGTTCGTGGATTATTTACTGGTTGGTTTGGTGTGAGAGAAAAACACTGTTCCCGGCTGAAAATTTACGATCGTTTACGAACAAGCGAACATGCTGCGTATTCACAGCGGATTATGTTAGAGGATAATTGCAAGGTTTGACAGAATTAAGAGCTGCAATTCTGCGAATCACCAGGCAGAGTGGCGTGCGCCAACTCTGAAAGCAACGGCGTGTGGGACTGGAAATTTGGAATTGCTCCTTGGGTGGGAGCCGTGTTTGGCTCTTTGTGGCGCAGGATCTTACGGCTGGGACCAAATGGAGACGTGGATCAATTCCGCCCCAGCCCGTAACGGGAAGCGGAGAAAGCAACGGTTGCTGGTTGCGGCGATGGAAAACCGTTGGTGCACAGCTGAAGCTACATGGTTTTGAATAATTCTAGCCTTTTTAATTTCTGCTTGCTACTACTTCAATCCGGAAACATCAGCTACAAAATGTTTGTTGTGAATACGAAACATTCTGTTACATAAACAAATGTTCCGTCATTTTTAGGAAAGATCAAAGGGAATAAAAATCGTTTTCACAAAGTAGACCTTTGCTTTCAACGTGGAACTCCTGTCTGATTAACTATTTTGTTCCCACAGATTACACAACACAAAAATACTAGAGGGTCAAGACTTATTTTTGACGTTTCTTGTCATGGTTACTGTACATCTAGGTTTGAGCCTTTCGGCTCAACATAGGTGCTTGCATTTCTCGGTTAAGTATTCTTTTTTTAACAAGTGATGTGCATTTCGATAATAATTAAGGTGTACATGTTGAGTTTGTTATATCAAAGTTCGTCAGCCTAATCAACATAGATGTTCATAAGAGCAGACTATGCATGCTTGTATATCCTGGAAATAATGGATTCTGGGATCCTTTGGAACGTACAAATTTCACACGAATCAGTTCATGTTCACATAGAGATGCAGGAAATAGGTAAAAAAAACACATTCCAAAGGGAATCCTAATTGTATCCTTAGTAAAACTATGCAAAGTTTGATCAAGTTTATAGGAAAAGAATAGTGATATTTAATACACCAAATAGGTATAATATAAAAATATATTCCACAAAGAACATAATAATAATATTTATTTTATGAAGTATTCATATTTTTTTATATAACCTCGGTCAAATTCAAGATATTTTTACTTGGCACTACGCTAGAATTGTACTGAGGAAGTATGTGTGTTCATAGAAATGAGCGTATGTTTAGCTAAAGTAAAGTATTTTTGATGGAAGGTTCTTGATCAAGAACAAAGTTGATTAGCCTCAAAAGTGTGAGAACCAAGGCAACTTTGAGATAATAAACGTTTGATAAGTTCAAAATTATAACACCTTAATAGTTGTCCATTGCAGAATATAAATCAAACTAATTTGATCCAATCACATTGCTAGGAGAACTGAAAATTAAAGCAACCAATAAGCATGACACCCCCAGAAACCGCACAACTATTTACTTTTTTTTTTAAAAGGAACCGCACAACTAGTATGGGTGACCCCTAGCAATACTCAACCCTCTTGCAACTCCTCAAAGCTCCAAAGGCCCCAGAACTACCTTCCTGCTCAAGCCATTTTTTAGTTATCCATCCCACTGCGCCGTAGGCTGTTGGATAGCGCGCGGTGCAGCCGAGGAGACCTCGCAGTCGAAGAACGAAGGCAACATCTGTTTCCGGCCGGCGATGAGGAACCCGCCGGGCAGGCACCTCCTCCGCCTCAGCAGCCACGCCGTGCGCTCTTCCTCCTCCTCGTCGGCGCTCGGCCCCGGCGCCGGCGCCTCCACCTCCGCCGCATCCCCACGCCCGCGCGCCGCCGCGGGCGGGTGGCCCCTGCGCGCCAGCTCCCCGCCCCCGCCTTCCGCGGTCGCCGCCGCCGCGTACTGGGAGTCCCGCGCGCTCCGCCGCGACGGGGAGGAGGGGGACTGGCAGGAGGTCGTCGCCGGGGCCGGGGCCCCCGGTACCGGGGAGATGGAGGAAGAAGACGAGTACAGGGTGGTGTTCTGGTCCCCGCCCACCATAGACGAGGTCACCGGCGCAGTCACCAGCATCCAGGAGTAAGATTTGCGTGCTCACCTCGTTAAAGCATTTTTTTTTCCGCGCACTGTTAGATTGGATCTAACTTTGCGTCTTGATGTTCCTTGTGTTGGTGACGCGCTTGATTGTCACGACCTAGGTTAACCTTTGCCTCCATGAATTAGATTCGATAGAGCTGTTCTTGTATGTAGTTTGATGCGACATAGATAGCTTCTCATGGGGACATGGGAGCCTTGCATGCTTCAGTTCATTTAGCACTATCTAGGTGGTTAGCATTTCTTGTCGTTATGCGGTCCCTGCCATGGAGTCTTCTGGGTGGGGCAGGGGTGGGGGCGGGCTATGCCGCTATGGGGCCAGGGGTGGGGGCGAGGGATGCATGGATAGACATCCACATGAACTTGCAGAGTTGCAGTATCAATTTTGTCTCATGCAGAATACATTAACAATCATGAATGAGTTTTTATTTACTCCTATGTTGTTGTGTTCTTGAATCATAGGATTGTTCTGTGTACCTTATGGTACCCGTGTTGTAGGGACTACTATAGAATATTAGATCCACCTAATTACATCAACTTTCAAGCATGATTAGTAGCAGCTCTATGAAGAATTATAATTGGAATTATGGTAATTTCTCAGTGTTTGTTTTCTTGTAAATTTTTCCAACCCTATGGATTGTATTACCTGCTCACTTTGGTTCATTCTTGCCAGGTGATCCCCAAGACTAGCTTTGTTGCGCTAACAACAAAATTTACATCCCCCCCCAACACACACATACCGAAAAAAAAACCAAAGCAATTGGCCTGCAAAAATAAAAATCTATTATTCTTTTTTTTCGTGAACAGACCTGTTGGCCCGTGTTAAAATTTATTCTTCTTTGTTTTGTAATTAGAACAGACATAAACTAATTAGATAGAAAAGGAGCAGAAAAAGTTATATGGATTAGACTCCTTTCTTTCTGGGGTTTGTATTATGGAACACCTTGTTCTGACCATATTGCACTATGTATCATCATTTGATAAACCGAGAAATGCTTTTTTCCCCTGATTCAAGTTTGTAGCGTGAAAACAAACCTTTTTTTCCTTTAATAATGAATCTATAATATTCATTTGCTCATTAATTCATACCAAAGGTTAAATCTTATGCATTGCTGTTCTTTGCTCCATCTAATTGAGTTCTCGTTTCCTCAGGGTATTTGAGAATCCTGTTGGACTGGATTCAGATACAACTGACAGACAAACAGCACTGCTGTCTGCATCAGGATATTCATCTGGCAATTCGTCAGGATCAGATGACTGGATTGAACCTGCTGCCTATGTTCTTAATTCAACTGCTCTTCTTTCAAGGGAACATAGGAATGTTTTGGATGCTTTCCGTCTGTTGCAAAAGGATCCCACTGTTCAGGTTTAAACCGAACCTATTCCTTTTATGTATTTTCAGTGTTCACCTAAACACTACATGCTAAACAGTCGGTCATTTATTGCGTAACCTTTTATTCGGGCTCAACAGCTGTTTAAACAAGCAAAATGGCTGGTTAAATGGACACAACTGGTGACCATGTAGTGATTAAACGAGCTAACCGGCTGTTTAGGCGAGCAGAGGTATTTTGCAACACTTAGTTAGATAGTGTACATTATTACCACGTCATGTTATAGTGCCCTGTCATATTTCGGTGTACCATTCGTAATTTCTGATCTAGCTGTCACCTAGAAGTTTTTCAACAGCTTATCTCTTAATCATTGTGTTAACCTTGTCCATTATGCAGAAAATGGTTATGTCTTTGTCATGCGATAGGGCTGTTTGGAATGCTGTCATGAATAATGAGGCAGTTCAAGATTTCAGGAGATCTTTACATGATGGTATGTTGCATGAAACTTTCATGTACATGCATGAATCATATACAATGTTCTGTTTGTTAATTCCAAGCTGTACTCAGATGAACCATTTGACCTTAGCCGTGTAACATTTGCAAGAAATATCCACTGCTTTAGCTAGACTATTGCTTTTCTTTCTGATCTATATGTTTTCACTTATTCCGACTAACAACATCGTACAGGAAAAGAAAATGACAAAAAGGGAGACACTGGTGGTCCAGCTGAAGTGCTTAAGTGGATCCTGGAAAGTGCCCAGACAAAAATAGTTGAATTCCTTGAGAATGTTATGAAGATAATCAACATGCTGATCCACCCTCAAGAGGATGAAGATAAGCCAGATGCATACAGCGATGCAGTTAAGGTTTCGTTCATGCTCACGGTATTAAATCTTCTTCATCGTGGTGGCCATTGCTCGTATCAAGTGAGCACAACAATCCGTCGACTTTATATTTCTATATGTTTTATTGTCTCTTGGTTATACACGGAGCAAGTCTAGTCAGTTAGTCAGGTCAAGATTGAGGCCATCCAAAGGTTGACTGGCCAAGAATTTGGAATTTGTTATCGTGCCATTATGTGGAATTATGATATGTCCTAGTAATATTAACATTATTATGCTTGCATTCAGCGTGCTTATGCTTTTCATTTCCTGCTGATTTTGGCTACAGTTATGAACATTGGGATTTCAAAGTGTGGTGAAGCGAGATTCTGGCATTCTACAAGCTCGTCTGTATATGTTTTGTAGAACACACCAAGCTTCATAACTTAGCCTACACAAAATTTTACCCTATGGTTTAGCTGTATCATTTAACCCAGGCAGTGGCAAATCATGCAAGGGAATGTTGTTGTTCTGGGTCATATTTGTGTGTTCAACTATCGGAGCCGGATAGACCTCTGTAGCTACCCTCCTACTCAAGCAGTCCAGCGTCAGCAAATTTCATGTTTGCAGTCCTTCATTTTAAGGATACAACATTAACTGTTGAAATAGTCCGCATAAATGTCAATTGATAAAATTATTTGTACAAATAAAGTTACAGGCTGACTTTGATTTGATATGTTCCATTGAAATAGCCCGAATAAATGTCAATTGATAAAATTCTTTGTATAAATAAAGTTCGATTTGGTTCAGTTCACAAGCTCATTTTTCGGTGGCGAAAACAGACCGTTGGGTGCGTGTGCAAAACAATTCTGACCAATGTCAATGTGTCACACACTAACGACTAACTCCCCTTGCAAATAACAAGGCTTAAGATAAGCGTCCAGCTTTAGCCGGTGATCATGGTGCCGGTGCCCTCGTCCGTGAGGATCTCTAGCAGCAGCGAGTGCGGGACGCGGCCGTCGATGATGCTGGCGGTGCGCACCCCCTGGGCGATGGCACGGACGCAGCACTCCACCTTGGGAATCATCCCGCCGCCCACCTTCCCCTCGGCCACCATCCGCCTCACCCAGGCGACGTCCACCTCCCTCACTAGGCTCGCTGGGTCGTCGCGGTCCGCCAGTACGCCGGACACGTCCGTGAGCAGCTGCAGCTTCTCGGCTCCCACCGCCGCGGCGATCTCCCCGGCCGCCGTGTCGGCGTTGATGTTGTAGGCCTGCCCGGCCTCGTCGGCCGCCACGGTGGCGATGACCGGGATGTGCCCGGACGCGATGATGGGGTGGAGGACGGCGGGGTCCACGCGCGTCACTTCGCCGACGAAGCCGAGGGAGGCGGCGTCAGGGGAGGGCCGCGCGTCCTTGCCGCACAGCCCGACGGCGGTGGCCCCCGCGAAGCTGATGAGGGAGACGAGCTGCTTGTTGACCTTGCCCACGAGAACCATCTCCACGACCTCCATGGTGACCGCGTCCGTGACGCGGAGCCCGTTGCGGAACTGAGGCTCCACGCCGACGCGCGCCAGCCAGGAGTTGATCTCGGGCCCGCCGCCGTGGACGAGCACGGGGCGGAGGCCGACGCAGGACAGCAGGACCAGGTCGCGGATCACCGACGCCTGCAGCACCGGCGACTTCATCGCCGCGCCGCCGTACTTGACCACCACCGTCTTGCCCTTGAATCTCTGGATGAACGGGAGCGCCTCCGACAGCACGTCCACGCGGCTCAGCGCCGCTGCAGGGGACGCCGGTGTGGGCTGCGCCGCCGCCACGGAGGCGGCGGAGACCCGGAGATCGCCGCTGCGGCGGGAGGCCGACGGCGTCAGGGCCACAACGCGGTTAACGTTCAGGTCATGCTTCGGGGTCGGCGTGGAGGCGGCGGCGGCGGCGGCGGCGGCGGCGAGGGAGGTGTGGGGCTTGGTGAGCAGCATCGTTCCGAGACTTTGACATTTCACTCATCATTAAACTGGTTTCGTATTTTTATCCTCATCGTGTAAGTTGGTTTCACTCGTTTACCATTACAGGTGTAACCCGCTAAAATACATTTTAGGCAGTTTTAATTCGTAGAAAAAAAAGACACGTCCTTGCTGTTTTCTTCGTCGAAACGGATCGACCCAACGGATCGGCCGGACGGCCGAAAGCTTCCCTCGCAAGCCTCTCCTCTTCTGCCGTCGCCGCTTCTCACGGCGGTCTTCCCTAAGCCCTAAACCCTAAACCTCTCCGGCCTCGGAGGAGTGCAGTCCTCGCCGGGGTGCCCGGCGCCCCTGCTCCTGGTGTTGTCCGCGGAGCTCGCGCGCCTCGAGGCACAACTCGGGCAAACCGCCGACCGGTGGGCGCGCTCCCACCTCGCGGAGCTCGGCGACACCGCGGCGGCCAGGGTGCTCCGGGTGGTCGCGGAGACCGGGACCCGGGTGCGGAGCCTGTCCGCCTTCATCAACCACCTCGCCAAGCAGGAGGCCATGCAGCGCAACGCCGCGGGGATCCCCACCGCCGAGCGCGCCGCCTGCTGCAATGGACCCTCCGCCCGTGCTTCACAAGGCGTGAGGGAAGGCCAGCGCCATGGGAGGGGAGCGGCGTGGTGGCAGGCCTGTGCCGGCTGATGCCGCTGGGGAGCGGGGATGGAGGAGAGGGAGTAATGGGACTATGGGAGAGAGGGCCGATCCGTTTTAATGAAAAAAACAACAGGCTGGGTAGAAGTGAAAGAATGTGTCTTCTTTTTTTTCACGAATTAAAACTAACCAAAATGTATTTCAGCGGGTTACACTGGTCTCATAATGGCAAACCAGCGAAATCATTTTGCGGAATGGTAAAAGTGCGAATCCAGTTTTTGATGATGGGTGAAATGCGAAAGTCTCCCGCGCTTTGGTTTTGGTGTGTGCGGAAGCGAGCTTGTTGCTCGGCACTGGAAGTGTGCCGCTGCGGCGCAGCGGAAATGGGTAATTGTAGATTGGGACGGCGGCGGAGTAGGTGGCGAGTGGCGACACCGGAGCTGGTGGAGCAACCGGCGGTTGACCGGAGCACGTGTTTTCGTTTCGGGATCGGCTTGCTTGCAAATTTGATTTGATAGAGAAATTTGGATCAGAATGTGAAAAGAAATTAGGGCAATTCTCACATGTGTCATCTGGAGAGGTTCCGATTCATATGAACTTTTCGGATCAAGTCTCTGTATTTACATCGGAGACATCCGTTGGATTTTCTGCATTTTAAAACCCATTCGACAAACGATCATACTAATTAGCGAACATTCATTGAAATTGAATCTGAGGCCTTGTTTAGATTGGGGTTAGGAATCAGTATTTGGCACTGTAGTACTTTCGTTTGTATTTGACAATTATTGTCCAATCATGGCCTAACTAGGCTTAAAAGATTCGTCTCGTAATTTACAATCAAACTGTGTAATTAGTTATTTTTTTATCTATATTTAATACTCCATATATATGTCTAAAGATTTAATGTGATAGAGAGAAAGTGAAAAAACTTACAATCTAAACAAGCCATAGCAAACAAAATTCCGACACACTAAACTTTCCTTTTTCAGCAAAAAATTCAATCCCGCACGTACCTTTTTTGAATGGCTGGTGCGCGTACGGGAGGAGGGGGGCGCGCTCCTCCCCCGCTCTCTATCCAGTCAGCTGACGTCATCATAAAAAATAAAAATATTTATTTTAAAATGTTATAACTTCTGAACGATGTATCCATTTTAAATTATGTCTGCACCGATGTGTTCTACGCGACGAGACGAACAAAACTAGACCCACTTGCATATGTTTTGAAGAAAATTTTATTTTAGTAATAATTTATGTGTACTAACTTATGATATATAACTTATAACGTATAACTTATAACATATAATTTATGCGAAAACTTGAAAACACGAGAGTTATGAAACACAATTCATTTACAAAAAAGCTATTAAACACAAAGAAATGAACTAACTTATAACTTATACTAAAGTTTAGAAACACAAAAGTTATTAAACAAAGCTATACAAAAAGTTATCAAACACATCTTATGTACATAAGTTATTCTATACAATTTATGTACATAAGTTATTAAAATACAACTTGTGTGTATAAGTTGTAAGTTATATGTTATAAGTTAATATACATGAATTCCTACTAGAAAAAAAATCTTCAAAACAACTGCAAGTAGGGTCTAGTTTTGTTCGTCATGTCACGTAGAACACTGTCGGATACCTATACCCGGGTATCCGAACCAAAGGATTAATGAGCGTCACGTTGTCTCACCCGATGGTCAAAGACGCAACTGCGATCTCGTCCGACTCCCAGGGGCCGGGCCACGCCTCGTCCAACTCCAAGGACGAGGTTTCCGCCTCATTCGACCCCCAGGGGTCGGGCCACGCCTCGTCCAACTCCGGGGACGAGGTCTCCGACCCCAAGGCGTGGGCTCCGACTCGTCCGACCCCCGTGGGTCGGATTCCGTCTCGTCCGGCCCCCAGGGCGAGATTTCTGTCTCGCCCGTTCCCTGGGGGTCGGATTTGCTACCGGACAAAAGTTGTGGCCCCAGGGTAGGACCCGAACCGTTTCAACCACTACGACGTGGAGGCGCACGCCCGGGAGCACATCTCGGGCGTGTCTTGATGCGACTGGCGGTCGCATCAAGCCATGCGGGGAGACTCACGTCGCACATCGCGTCAACAGGCCGGCACTGTGCTGCCAACTCCCTACCTGACCACCGTCCAACGTCAGTCGACCGGCGCCAGCTTGATCGCCTCTGCATCGCCCCAATATGGCCTTTGTTAGGGACCCTTTGACCATTCCGTCCGCTCGGATGAGATGGAAGACAAGAATGACGCACGACGCCCACACGTATACTGCAACGGCCAACAGGACCCCAATGCGACGTCGCTGCCAACACGATCTACAGGGTCAGCGGGACCCACGCGAAGAGGAGGACAGCACACCTCACCTCCGGGAGCCTTGTTTTCTCTTTCTTTTTCCCTCTTTCCTTCGGCTGTAACACCTCCTTTCCTTAGCCTATAAAAGGAAAAGCAGGGCGTCCCACATCGGGACATCGAACAAGTGCATCACATAACATCAGTTCACCACACCGTATCAGACATAGAGCAATCGAACCACAGAGACTTGGGAGTTACCTCCCTCTCTCGTCAGTTTGTAACCCCCTACTACAAACTCGGTGCTGGTAACACGAGCACCCCGAAACTGTACGTAGGGACATTCGGCCTGAATCAGTATAACCCTTGTGTCATCTTAGCACACCATCCCGAGCGGACCAGCAATAATATACAAATTTACTCGTTGGTGCTTACTCAAAACACCGACAAACACACACCGTGCGTAATAAAATTTAAAATGGATACATCGTCACGAATGTTATAGTCATTTACTGTTCATTTGGTTGGTTTCTGGGTCGATAAGCCGGTGGTGCTTTGGTTTGTTGTGAGAGAAAAATATTGTTGGCTAGGCCGATAAGCCATGGCTGAAATCATCGAGCGAGCAGTGAGAGTATTTTGAAATAAATGTTTTCCTTTATTTTATGACGTCAGCGACTATGGGAAAGCGCGCTGGGAGAGGGAGGCACGGTCTGATCGTTCGCTATATCAAATCTGAGTGAACGATCGACGGAATGGAATTGGGTTCGACAAAACTGAAAGGTCAGGACTAAACAAAAATCAGTGTTGCCTGACAGGCCTGATTGCTGTCTCGAGCATGGCGTGGAATATGTTTGTTTCTAAGCTGAATTGACTGTCATGACATGCCCAACGGTCCGCCAGGGATGTAGCGTTTGGGCTTCAGGTTCTGATGAGTGGCTGGGCCAACAGGCTGGAGCTTTGGCCCAGCAATCAACTCTTGGAGTTTTTTTTCCCAACTCAACGAAAAACAGAACGACGAAAACTGATCTTCTCTATTCTAGCTCGGCTCTCCACTTCCCGGTTCTTCCTTCTCATCTGATGTCCTTCTTCTTTGCTCAAAAAAAAATATCCGATGTCCTTCTTCTTCAAAAATTTTACAAACTCTCTTCTGATTGTATCGTTGTTTGACTTGATTTGCTCAAAATTGCTTGAGTGGTTTGTGACACCAACCTAGTCTACCTTGCATTGTGAACTGCCAGTAAGTATAGCCCGGCCCAAAAACAGACTGGATTAGGCCTTGTCGCGTCAGTCATTGTGGACACCAACCATGGGGAGAGCCCAGTATCGTCGTAGCCTAGTTTGTTGGGCTATGTGGATCTGTACCGCCAGTGGCTTTCCTACTCTCTTTTTGTTTTGTCAAATACCACTGTATCTCACCGCACCTGTTGTTTATATCAAAATTCCAAAGAGCCCTGCATACCCAATATGTTAGATCCAAACATGTATGGTTAGTCATTACAGAGCATAACATTATATTGTATAATACATAGCTTGCAGCTCTTCTTCGGTATAACTGATTATATGCAGGTTTAAGCTGCTGGTTATCATTGTACTTTGTACATTCTTTTGCAGCTGCGTTGTAGACAGTGAGATTACAGGCAAATGCTCTGTGGTCGTGGAAGAGTACAAACTTCCAGCTATCTTCCTTACTCCCTCTGTCCAAAAGAAAAAACAACTTCAGATTAAAAATAACCTAAAAATTGTTAAATTTGATCAAATTTATAGAAAATGATACTAATATTTATATCTTTAAATAGATTTACAACGAAAATATATTTTACAATTAATTGATTCGGTGTTATAGATGTTAGTTTTTATAGATTTAGTTAAATTTGGTTTTTTAGACGGAGAGAGCACCTTGAGTATTTGTGGCTTATTGTTGGCTGAAATTGTTAGCCGTGTATACGCTACAATGTGTATCGAGTAATCATGAGTTTTTTGGCCGTGTGTTTTGGACGGGCCCGTTTGTAATTTCTGACCTTTTTATTACAAGCTCCATCCATTTGCTGGCAGCAGCAGTACCGTAAGGGCGTCCGC